TCGCCATTACTCGCAGCGCCACCCCGGCCGGTCAGCACCTCGTAGGGCCCAGGCGGCTCCTGGATCGCGCACCGACTGACCTCCGTAGCCATATGCTCCCACTCCCCCGGCGCCCCCAGGGCCACTTAACGACAGCTCAGCTACCGGGTACATCAAGCGGTTTAAGAACTCGGCACCCGCCACGCATAGCTACCGCAGCTTCCGCCTCCTCTATCAGGTGCGCACCAGCCCAAAGTGCCGTTTCCAGAACCTTCCTCGCCGCTAACGCTTCCTCTGCAGTAAGACAGCCAGCCCCCTACTCGCAGCGCGCCGACCGGGAGCCAACAGCGGCACCTAGACCTGCGCTAAAAGGGGCTCAAGCCCGCTCGTAACGCCCGGAGCCGGAAAAATTAACTCCGTACGCATAACTAAACGTGCCACCCTCTTTAAAATCAAACTCATAATTTTCCTTTTTCACGTACCATATTCTTCATGGTTTACGAATTCCTGCTTGAGAGTACCGTACAACTGGTCAGTAATGGCTGCCTTAACTGTTACGTAATTTGAAATTCAGCTCCACGTACTGCTAGCGCCCTCCTTCTCCAGCCCAGGCTCGCTTCCGAGGTTTTAGTTTTTTAAAAAAAAAAAAAAAAGCTTGAATCTGGAGCTTAAATATCTCCAAAGGAGCAGCAGTTCTGTAAAACGCCCCTACGTGTTTTTAATCACGTAATAAAAAGTCATCAACTCCGTTAGTAATGGCTGTCTCCGAAATGAGCCGAAAGAGCCGTCGTCGTCAAGCTTATCCGCTTCGGCAGTCGCCGGAAAAAGCCGAAACACGAAAGGAAGCCCATTCGACTCACTTCGGCAATTTCCGGAATTTGCCGAAGGAGACAAGAATAGCGCTCGGAACCTGCTCGGCAGTTTCCGGAGAAAGAGACGCAACAGTCATCGACTATGCACCCCGTTCGGCAATTTCCGACAACGGAAGAGACTCACAATACGCACCCGAGCGGAGCCGAAACGGCCCCGATCGCGACCGTGTGGCGCTTTTTTTCTCCGGAAATTGCCGAACCTCCCCGAAGGCTCAAGCCTCAAAGCGGGGCATTATAATTAGCTGAAGGCGCCCTCATATCACCCCCCCTCGTCCCTCCGCGTTGCCCTCACAGCGGCCACCTGTGAGAGGGGCAGGGATGGAGCGGGAGCGGAGCGAAGCGCACCCCCGAAATCTCACCCGGCTGTAGGCGGCCTGGCCCCTTCCCCCTCCACCCAGGCAGGAGGAAGTGATAACTACCCAGATTTTGGCACCGGCGCCCCGGGAGCCAGCGGAGGGAGGCGGACTTCGCCGCAGCGTTCTCCGCTCTACCCCGCACCGCCGGGGACACTGGGCGCACCGCCCGCTTCGGCACTGTTCTTCTTCCTTCCTCTCTCCCCTCCCTCCTTTTTTTTC